TGATTTACCATGTTCAATCTGGATTCCATCATTTTCATTAGTTAACTGTAATTATTTTAAAATTGATTGATTTGTAAGCGTATTTTGTATTCAGTCATACTGATTTAAACTCAAGTTGGTAATAATATTTGTTTGGTCATGTCAATGCATCACTCTTCTATATCCATGCATGCTGATGATTTCCTGTACCGTGGCCAGCTCATTACATTCCCTTATTCATACAATTAATTACCTTCAACATTTTACTGTGGTAATTGTTAGTGTTATTTGGAATTCATTGAAATTACATCATTATATGTACAAGTTTCCATCATATAGTTTAATAACATGTTTTTTTCCCTACAGGAATGGATTTACACAGAGAAAAGTTGAGAAACTATTGCCGATTATGTGGAGAAGCCAGGGCAATACCATATGAAAAATACCGGAATCCAACAGCAAAACAGAGTTTTTCAACAAGTATTTCAAAATATTTTTCTGTGGACGTTGAAAGTGAAGATTGTCACATTTTCCCTCCATTTATATGCCAGATATGTCACAAAAAGATGCACAGATGGAAGAAGAGGTTTGCAAAGAAGTTGAAATGTTCCTTGAACATTAATGTAGCATCATTTCATCCTCATGATTCTGGTTGCAGAATATGCTTTTCTAATACATCTCCTGATGATGTCACATCAGAAAGAAGAAACACTTTGTTAGAAACCGTAACAAAGATTGCTAAGAATGGAGGATTTGTTGTTGAGAAAGGAGAAAAAAGTATTCGGTGCATCAAGTTAGTGAACCAAAGTCAGGCAATAGGGATATGGCTTGAAGTTGAAGCTAATGGTTGCTGGAGCTGTAAAGTTTATAGTTCCATGGATAAATGAAAGATTTAATTACAATGTATCACTGCACATGTGTGCAAATTAGCATTGATGGGAAAGATCACTGCCTCATGTATAATTAATTAATTTACAATGTATCATATTCCTATTAACTGATAGAAGAATTTTATTTTTAAGGATACAATAAAGATATCATTACTTGCATTTTTATCACTACTACGTAATATGATACAAATGGATTCTTTGTTTTAGAATGCTGAAGACCATTATTTTACATGTTGCAAATCACAGGTGTTGATGACATTTTACTTACATCTGCAACAGTGGCCTTCACATTGTGTGTTCTCTGTGTTCCAACATGTCTCTCCTTGTCCATATACCCATATGGTAGAAATGGTGGTCTTATTGCAGACTTCTCAGCTCCCCCTACTGTAGCTTTTGCTGACTTTGGTCTTGGTTTCTTTGGACGTATCGGCTTATCATTTCTTTCAAGGGCGGATGCAGGTAAAGGGGGCACTAAAAGAATATAAATAATAATATTTCAGAATGCAGAAATGCTAGAAATTCTAGTTTAGACACATATCAAATACATTTGATTGTCATTCTATTTTAGACACATAGAATACATTTGATTGTCATTTCTATTTTAAACACATAGAATACATTCGATTGTCATTCTATTTT